CTCATAAGTATGTCCTGTAAATCCACTAATAACAGTCCAGCGTATTACTAACATATATGACTTTGATTCACTCATCGGACGGGCTCGCCAATGCCTCCCCCGGTCTGGAGTCTGGTCTGATCCTTCTGTGGAACCTTGAGACTACACACACCCTGTCATCACGGTCCACCCGACTCTAAAGCCAAGCTCTTAAACCTCTCAACGTAACAGACGTGAATGGTGATGCAACTATGACTCGCCATTGCTGCTATTGATTATATTACATCTGAAAAATGCGAGTGTTACTCTCAAAGGCCTATTTACCAGAAGCGTCAAAGAAGGAAGTGATTAATTGGGGAAAAATTCTATCCGTTTGGAATAGATGACATGACATGTTTTTATAAGGTAATATTTGCATAATGGTGACGGATGATTGCATTGAGTAAGTTCGGTGTTGTGAGGGAATCTGAAAACCGCAGTCCAACAATGACATGCAATTATGTGTCAAACTCTGGCAGCATATGGGCCTACAGCTGCAGTGTCTGACATACACTGAATTAGCGTGGGTAAAACGCCTAGGCTGTGTGCCATTTTAAACACAGGGTATGAATTAGTCATTGGAGAACTACATTTTGGCATGTAAATCTGAATAAGACCATATAAAGAATTTAAAGAGCCATGTTACAATAATTAGCAAACTGTTTTCAAAACTGATATAAAATGGTTTTACATCAGATGCCCTTTCTGATCTAAATATCTAGTATTTTATCCTGTAATTTGCCATACAGGCTTTTTCATAGTATGCTCACTTTAAACAATTTATTTTGGGTTGGGACTGTCACTGATGCAACCTCTCCTTAATTAATGTGTTTCTATTTATACCTTTTAATAAGCAGGAAACTTAAAATAAATGTATTATTTATTAAAAAATACACAATTCACACAGCTTTTTAGGTAACATAAAAACATCCACATTTTCAAGTTTTTAATTAATAATTATTTAATTTTGTTATTTGTGGGGGGGAAAAAAAAAAAAAAAAGTTGGCCCAGTTTTATTTAACAACAAAATGAAACAGGAAGCGTTGCTATGTTATTGTTGAAGTTTGGGGTGTGACAGAGGGAGTTTTCAGATAATGCTACTTTAATTGTCGAGCAGGGCTCAATATGATTGGCTATTTACATGTTATTCAACATCAGCCAATGTCCGTATTGAAAGTGACCTGTAAGCTGCAATTATATATGACTGAATTTAAATATCACCGTTCCTTTACTTTTGTTATGTCATGCTGAAGAAAACCTGTATTTCTATTGTTTAGTTTAAACCATTAATTTTATAATTACAATAGCAATATATAGTTTACTGGTATTTTCCAAAGGCTATGTCCACAAGTGCCTTACGTCATCCATGTCACCAGCGTACCCACCCTTTTGCTCTAGTGCATGTCTCAATGTGAACTTTGGACAGTGCTCAGTGAGCACGTAATGTTATGACTTCAGCAGCTAGGCTCATCATGGCACAGATTTTAATGAGTTACAATAGTGATAAAAGGCTGTGTTGTTTTTAATTTGCACCTAAACTCCACCCTTTCCTTTTGCAGACAGGTTTATACTGTACTTCAGCATATGACACAGAAAAGTGATTGTTGTGTGTTTACTTAATGTGCAATCTGGAGTCTGGTGCATACAAATGTGATGCTCATTGGTAAAGTGGAATCATTTGTCTGAAAGAATAATAGGCTTGTATGTAGCTTTGACACAATTCAAGTGAAATGTTATAAATTTACTTTTTACATATTCAGAATAGTATTTGTTCCATAGAATTTCTTTTACTGGATGGAAGCAGTTTCAAATGCGGGTAAAGTTTGAGAGACATGTGGCAAAATGTGAGAGGAAGGAGTCAAGCACAGAACATCATTATCATGATCATCATTCACTATTTAATCTCATTTACTCACTTATCATGTATGAAATTTTATTTGATGTCAGTGAGTGTGCAAGAATAGGTAGTTTGTTCTATTACAAAGTGTATGTAGACTTGTCATTCTAGCTGTATGTGTAAATGTCATAAGTTAATATGACTGGAAAAAACTAAACTAGGAAACTAAACTAAACAAAAACTAAAAACAACGCAGCAATATACTCACAAATATGACAAATGACAAATATTTATACTTCATACTATATCAAAGGGGTTTCCAAACTTTGAATTGTGTGTAACCAGGAGACATTTGATGACCAGTGTACCCCCTGGGATATCCAAATCATTGAAAAGTATTATCAATTAAAGACTATATTACACTATAATACTAACATTACAGTTTAATTCTTTCAGTAACACTCTTTGCACACCATCATTCTATGAGTAATGGCATTACTCTTTGGGAAACACTGCTATTATTCTCTACAATTTACAATGTGATCAACTAATATTGTTGTATGGGGTTTACTGGAAGCTTCAAGAGAAATTACTTCTTCCGGGATGTAGCAGAAATGATGGTTTACTGAAGGTGTCTAATTTAAATGAAGTGCGATGAATGATGCAGAGGCGTGAGTCATTGCTGAGTGAAAAGGGTATTCTGCCTGACTCTGATCGGAGCTGCCTGGGGCTTATCTCCCGCCTTGACGACTTTATAAGGCACTTCCTGTCACTGTGATGTCACAGCAGGGAGGGGAGGGGGATCTCAGAGCTGGTTTGTTCTAGTATGTTTTGGTACAAGGCTTTATGCAATGTATTATTGTCTTTAATTGGTTGTGTTACTGTTTATTATTAGTTGTTCAAATTAAATTGCATCAGCCCTAAAGCATGGGCAAGGCTGGATTTGCTTGCATTGTCTTTTCTTCTTTGCTTTTTAATTGGTTGCTTGCCTAGTTAACTTATAAATCAGTACATATTGTGCACAGTAGTGGACATACTTTGGACACAGACATTGAAAACAGGCCAAAAACAGATGCAGGAACATACAAATCTGGCATAGTAAAAAAGAAAATTCCTTGATCCTCCAAAAATATTCCCTGGATTCTATTATAACCTATGATAACAGCATACAAGTAAGTAAGTTAATCCCTTCAAATAAATGAAGATGAAATAAGATTTGTCATCCTTCCCCTAAAGCAAATAAACTGCCTTTTACTTCACTAACTAAACAGAGTGCATGTTTTTATGTTTGGTTGGATGTTTTATGTTTTTTCAGAGAACATGCACTGCAGAAAATACAATTGACTGAGTTTAATTGGAAAATGTCTCACAAACATGCTCAATTGATTGAGATTGTTAACATATTCAGGGATTTCTGAATGGTAAACAGTTATGACTGTTGCCCTAGAGATGAACAATATTATATCTTTCGAATAAGAAAAAGTCTTCATAATGTTGCATATAACAGGAAGCTGAATACAAACTGAACTGAATACACAGAAATACTGCACACTCTATTCCATAGGCTACAGTACATTTGGTCATGCAAGTGCTCCTCTCCTCGCACTGCTGGTCACAACTGGCCCAAAGGAATCCCAAAAATGTGTCTGAAATCATAAAGAGGGATTAGCACAGTCTGCTCTCAGCGTGGGGCCAAATATGTGATAATAAGATGGCTGCAGCTCTATGCCCCCAATGCCCGACCTGTAAAAGATTGACAAACTCCAGCAAGAACACCCTCTCTACACGCCTTCGCTGCTTTTCACTCACTATTGATTTAGCAGGACCATTGTGTGGCTCTGTTTGAGTAACATGCATGTCACTGTTGAGTTTGCTTAACTCGGTTAGCCTAATGGACACAGAGGGTGCGAGACGGCCACTTAGAAAAGTAGCCCTGGTAACCTAATTATCCATGAAATCAGACGAACAAATGCACAAAAGAAAATGACCATAGAGACGATTGACCATGGAGACTGTAATGCTAGATGCCAAAACACAAGAACTCTTTGGCACTGATCATTGCTTTGCAAAAAACAACAGCAAAAAAATTACAAAAACACAGCAACTGCTTTATGTCTCTGTGGAAATTTTGTGTGTGGCAATGGTGTATCCATAGAGACAACTATGTGGGGGGGCTGCCACCAGAAAAGTTACATATTGTTCCTTAAAATGCCTTAGTACTTTTACAATATTCTCTGTACATAGACTCACACATATCTGGTTGTTGTTGTTTTTTTCTTTTTACTACACATTATTTCCAAAGCAATAGCGTATCCATAAAGACGTGGCGGGACAGCCACTAGAAAAGTTACATATTGTTCCTTAAAATGCCTGTACATAAACTGACACATGTCTGGTTGTTTTTTTTTGCTATGTGAAAAAAATATGCTCAATCGAAGTATTAACATTCGTGTTTACAACCGCTAAAATGGTTTAAGGTTATGCAATATTATGTTATTGCTATGATAAGACTGTGAGGTCCTATCTGATAATATTCGTGTAACTTTTTGGTCAATAACAAAAAGATAAGAGCCATTCATTTGTGCAATTAATCCAGTAAATTAGAAAAAAAATAGGCTAATTTGGCTATCTATTAATCTTACTACATGCCGAGTTTATAGGCTAACATTAGTTAAAGACATCTGAAACAACATAGGTAAACCTTGATCGCTTTACGTTTTCAAATGCGCATAATTCTGTCTCGAGGTGCTTGACTGTTATGTTTTTTTTTTTTGTTTTTTTTTCCAGCTAATGTATATGCGTAGCTTTTCCTGCTGCACGTAATGTGCTCAGCAAAGGAACATAGCGAAATATTACTCTGCGTCTTTAAGAGCAAGTGTGTGGGGAGGAGCCAGCCCTTCTCCATAGCGCTTTGGACCTTAAAATAATTCTGTCTTACGAGTAAAGGCTAGAAAAGTAACGCGTTATTACTGGAGCGACGTCTACACGCTAGCGTCCCGTGTCTAATGTTTCAGTAATCTGAATACGAGGAGACTAATAACAAAGGAGGATCTATATTTTCTCCAAAGACGGGGTCAAGTCAGCAGCAGAGGAGTACTGCAAAGTTATTTAGGTAAGTTTAGAAAGTATTTTAAAGCTGTAGTAACTTACAAAGTGCGCGTTTTGGATATTGCAGCATGCAGCAAGTTGGTGCAACGACATCACCTCATTCATTATTTTATAACACCCTATTTCCACTCACTTATACAATGCCAATGAAGACTTAAACATGTAGCATTTTTTGAATATTCTGGCAGGATCACATTCTAGATTGATATTGTGTCGGTGCAAATTTAATAGCATACTATCGTGCGTAAAAATCATATTCTGCGTAAATCCCCCAAATTATTTTTATTCTATCAGAAATTACCATAAGGACAGGGCCATGGTAGATAGCTGGCTTGCATGTTGTCGTATGAGTCACCTGGCTGCTTCGAGGGCTTTTAACCATTATTATCTCAATCCGGTAAGGTGAGCTGTGCGCTCGCTGGCTCGCTCCACCGCTCGCCTCACAGGTAGAGCTGGTATGGCTGCTCACAAACCGCTGCAGGGTTGTCACCAGCGGGGTGTGATCTTCCGTGGCCTCCCCCTTCATACGTGCCCCGCTGTGGATGTCCTGTCAAAAGTGGAAAGCGCGCCCAAGCTACTACCCTTGTAGGAAACAGGAGAGAGAAGATTGAAATAGACTATTTAGCGTTAATGAGTAACACTGGATACGTTGTAATTACATTGGATAAATATGAGGTAGGTACAAACATAGATGTTTTGCATGGTGGTTTATAATTTACTTGAATCTTGAATAGTTGTGCTTGATAACCAAAAGAGGAACAGGTGGACACCCTAAGTAGTAGTAGAAGTAGTGGCTGTATTTGTACCAATAACCTAGTTGAATATTGACAATATAAAATAGTCTACATGAATGGAGGTTCTGTTGCATGTTATCTTGGCTTTGTAGGCTGGTTGTAAATGTATAATGATAATAATGTTAAATATAATTGGCAATTGACTAAATATATTGCTCTAAGATAAAGTGTTTTTGGAGTACCCCTTTGTACAATTTTAAACTAAAACGTGAACATGTTTTTTGGCAGTAATTAAAACGTGTCTTTATAGCAATAGTAGTTGGCTAGGAGCAGTAATAGTAAAATATCTCCCTACTGAAACATTAAATATATTAAATAATACAGAGTTTACGTTGTCTGTAGGCACTATACTAAACATAGTAAGATAAGAGAATAACTAGGTGCGTAGCTGAGGAGATTGCTTAAATGGGTGTTGAAATATCCGTCAAAAGTTGCTGTAAAGGAGTGTTGAGCAAGGGTAAGGTAAAGATCTTACAAATAGAAGTAAATGACTAGTTCTTTTCTAATACTACACTGTTGTTTTTTTCAATTGCAGTAACGTGTGAGAGGCCAATTGTGAAAATGAAGTAATGCCTATTGTAACTATATTCTCGATTTAAGCCACGTTGCTTCTTAGTATAAAACATAGAAAGTAACCCTTTATATTGACATATGCACTGGTCCTGCCAGATATTTTACTATATGAGTGTAAGGCAGGTCACAGATGCATGATGTAAGAGATAAGGGTAGTTAATGAGCTATAACAGGCCCATGTGTACCAGGACTTTGTAGACAAAAAATAGTTGGTTAAAACAGCAACTCACAAAATGAATAAAGCTCTATTGCCTTTATTTAAACATTTTAATGTAACCCTCTTTGAAGTACACTTGTAGTTATTCTGTGCTGCTCAATAAGAGTCGGTTCATATCTTGTATAGTTGAGCAAATGTCGTCTTGGACAAAAAAAAAATCTTGAATTGTCATGAAATGAACTTCCTTTAAGTATTACTTACACTTTTTGTCAGTCACTCTTTTTTGTCACTCTTTGCAAAATCACATTTACAACCACAGACCTGAGGTGAGCATTTACACAGTGACAGCACAAAATAACTGGCTAGGAAATACTAACATTACAGTAGATTGCTGATAATGTTGTAGTCCATTGACAGAAAACCAAAACATTTGTTATGTTTTACTTACTATTCTTTTAATTCTCTGTGAGCTCTGTGAACTCTGTTCTGTCATCTTTGGTGAAGATGATGATGTTTTCAAATGAACCTCTCACAGGTTCCATCAGCAGGAAGGTCTTTGGGAAAAGATCTGTCAGATTAGCCTTGTGAAGGATGTGCCACTGCAATTCCTAAATGGAAAAAGATTGGCTCTTGTGTTAACAAAGAATAACTTTAACTTCTATCTCCTTAAGCCAAAGATCTCTATCTCCTTAGTTTGATTATATTCAGGTTAGTACTAGGACCAGTTTTGTGCAAATTTAAACCCAAACCCCTTCCTCGTGTTGCTGCCGACATATTTAATCTCCCTTTTTTAGCACAGTTCTCGCAATTCTCTCAGCCCAATCATGTGTAGAAATTTTCAGTCATAAAAACCTTTCACAAATGTCCTGAATTGATAACATATAAATCCCAACTTAATTCTCCGTATGATCACACCACATTGTAAAAATCTTGTTTCTGTGAGCGCACTTGTGGTCGTCTGCCAGGATGAACTGTGTCTGCACCTGTTGCTGGAGGAAGCCTGAGTCCCGGGGGGTTCATTATCAAATATCAAGTTGCTTCCCGTCCCGTTCGGACCTGAATCGATGGCCCTGGCCACAGAGGGGACTGCATTCCTTGTCGGGGCAGTTTTGGCTGTTGCTGATGCCCCGGGCTTCCTGTTGTTTTAGAGCTTTGTTTCTCGACAGCTGTCAGGGCAGAACATAACTTTAGCTCATTGGAGAGAGGAGAGAGAGGGGCCTGTGTGGTTCTCAATCAGCACGGCTACATTATAAGCAGAACAACGTGTCACTGAACATACATCATCCTAGGTCTCCAGGGTTCACACTATGCACCTGTTTTTGAATACTGACATAAATATTGCTGTGTTGCATTGTGTCATGTGCATTTGCAGCAGTAATGCTTTGTTATTGTTGTAATAAAAAGAAAATAGATTTATTCATATTTTTATATATACTTGGCTAGAAGTTTACTTGCTTAGAGGTTCAGCAGTTCAGTTGTGAGAGCATTGTGGTAATAGTTATAGTACATATTGCACCATAAACACAAAATCAATACATTTTACCCAATGAGACATAAACCTTTTGTGCTACTAATTTTGCATGTCATCCCTATTTATAATGAAAATTTTAATGTTGATGTATTTTTTAAAAATCTAACATTTTATATAATTAGTTTTATCTAAAACTATGCCCCACTCCTCATATAGTACGTAGTGGTTAATGAGTCTATAAATATTGCGTACACACGTGTGGGTCTGACTGACACATAGTTGACGTGAACATGCAGGTCATTTGACATCAGCAGCTCTTGCAACATAGATCTTTTGTAACAGGAGAGGCACTTCTTTTGTCTGCTGTTCAGGCCTAGTGAGATTGTAGTGACTCCTTTGTAACTTGACTGTAAACTTTGTATATTTTATGGTTCAGAATTTAGAGCCAGATGCTGGGTTATTTTTTTTTTGGTAAAATGTTCTTTGCTTGGATGAATTAGATTAATTATGTTTCAATGAATTATTATTATTATTATTATTAATATTATATTTCTACAAGTTTGATCCTTATTCAGTAGAATATATAAATATAAAACTATATTATCCCTTAAAACAAATTTGTTTTCCTTTATTGGTTTATTTCCTGGCTACTAGATACTATTTTCAAAAATACAAAAGATTACTTTGTTGAAGGATTTTTTATATTTTGAAATAATTTGACTGGGTATTATATGTGAGAGGAACAAATATGATTACCTGGTTGTAATCCATTTAGGTTTTATGTATGGACCTTATTTACAGTAGTAAATGTTGGTGTGTCTCTGTATGTTGCAGGAGAAGTGTTGGCCAGCCGGGCGATCTCAGAGTTTGCTGGCTTTGATGCGACCCGAGGCTGCCTGGAGCATGTCCACAGTGGGCCTGACTGCCCAGGAGACCTCTTTCCCTCTCGAGAACCCCTTCCTCTGGGGCAGCTGCCACAGCATGGACTCGAACTCGTCCTGGGGGTACACTCATGAAGCTAGCCCCAAGTGAGTGTTCAGGAGTGACTAGTACTACAGATATAACCATCTTTACTGTTCCATCTCCTAATGTCTTCTGTTCTTTACAGCTTTAGTATAAAATCACCCTACACAGATCCAAAAGTTCATTTGTACCACAAAGAGTCACCCCCTCTATCTCTTAGTTATGAAAGTAAGTACTGCATGACGCTCTGCTCAGTCTCTGAACATCCACTGTAATATGAAGCTAACCTCCTGTAATGTGTGTAGGACACAAGCACAGTCCAGGAACACAGAGGCTCCTGAAGAAGTCCCGGCCATCCTACCTCTCCCTGTCCTGCACCCCTGAGCCCTCCACGCCCAGCCCATCAGAGGACACCCACATCCTATCACAGCCACAGTCTGCGTATAGAGGCTGCAGCCCCCCACAGACTCCAGGGAGGTGCTCCAAGCCCCTGCCCCCCATCCCCCTACAGACAGACTCCTGCTCTATACAGAGCTTGGACAATGAGGAATATTTTATAAATTCAGATGAAAGCTGTCGGCTTGTGGCTGATCCAGTTATCAAACCTGTGCGTTTTGGACTTGGCCGGCGAAGCCTCAGAATCCACGGACAAGTGAACCATGCTTTCTGTGATCATGGTCCTCAGAGCCCCAGACCCACCCAGACACTACAGCACCACCCGGTAAACCATCACCAGGGAAACCATCACCAAATTCAAATTTCTCATGACAGACATGAGTCACAGCATGAACCTCCTGTGCAGCGTGCTCCACGGCAAGAGACAGAGGACGTTCCCGTATGTCCAAGACAGTTACAAGATAAGACTCAGAGACGGGTTCGGCGCACACAGTCGGGCCCGGCAGGGTCTTTTAACAAACCCTCTTTTCTGAATCTCCAGTCCAAACGAAACACTCACAGTACATACAAACCTGAAGTGCCCCCTCCCATCCCCCCACGGCACCATAAGACAGAGGACCCCCGTCGCTGGTCAGTCGAAGTCTCTGGGGCCTACAGTGACGAGGACAGACCACCCAAACTCCCACCCCGTGACCCTCTGTCCAGGGGCTGCTCTCGTACTCCCAGTCCCAAAAGTCTGCCCCTGTATGTCAATGGAGAGATGCCTCCAACACAGAGCTTTGCTCCAGATCCTAAATATGTTTATCGTGGTTTACAGAGACAGAACAGTGAGGGGTCACCTTGTATCTTTCCTGTTATTGAAAATGGACAGAAAGTTAGCAACACACATTACTTTCTATTGGACGGCCCTCCAGCCCAAAATTTAGATGTATCAAACTCAGAATGGGACTATCGCAGCCGGAAGAAAGCACCTGTGGATTTTGTCTGACAACCTTTGCATACTGTATTTGTATTAAATAAGCAACAATGGACCATAGTACCCTCTAAACCGCTGCTTTTTATGATGGACTCTATTGTGAACACACACAGGGTAGGTGTGCACTGCATTAGTTACTGGTAACTTTGGTTTATCGCAGCTGAGATATCTCTGGCTCCAGGTTTAGGCAAAGATTTAATAAGAAAACCTATTTTTGATATGATGTTTAATTTCATTACTTTTGTTGTATTGACTCTTGTGGTATCAAGGTACAAGCAGGCCTTGGACCTCCTCTCAGTGTTTTTTTTTTTTTTTTTTTTTTGTACGTGAAATGCATTGTGGGGGTTTCATACTTTGTGAGTGACAAGGGACAATAGGTCAGTATCCATTTTTATATGAAGTAAATTGCTGGAAAATGAAGGATTTAAGCACAAACTCACCTTTCTGTGTTCTTGTTTTGTCATGGGAGATTTTTCCGTGGTAGCTCTTGGATAATGATTGCATGTACTGTATGTTTAAATGTGTGAGAGATATTTGGTGACAAAGATAAAACTGTCTACTGTACTTGTTACTTTCTGTGCAGGTAAATGTCATGAATGTATCCAAAACTAACTGTCTTATATGAGTCTGTGGTCAAGCTGTGAGTCTTTGGTTGATATAATTTGTACTACCTCCTGTTTTAACCTTACCTGTACTTACAGCATGGGTATCAATGTCCTGACATAGTTATTAGTGAATTGTTGAACACAAAAAACAAGAACAAATAAAAAAAAAAAAAAAAAACATAGAAGTAACACATCATAAGAGGGCCAGGTTTGTACAATGAGCAAAACTAACCCAGCCTTCTCTCTGGTATAATAACCGGATGTCCTTAAATGAAGATTTCTAGCACAAATGTTAGGCCAACCTGTTGCACAGACTACATAGACAGTACAGGGTTTACCTGACACAGACTTTTCCAGTTCTACTCATGCATTCCTGTCTTACATGATTGCAGTGGGTGTGGCCTCTTCAGACACATTGGCTGCTGGCAGCTCAGAAAATGTATGAATTTTACTGTTCTCAAACTTGGGTAAATGTAGCATATATTTGTAGTAACCTTGATAGAAAAAGTTTTTGATACTGCTGAGGTCAAAACACGGACATTGAAGTTTTTGTTTCTTTCCCTTCTGCTCACAAAATGTTGCAACCCCTTCCTATGCTTTTTTAAAGAATGTTTACATCATACACTGATACTATTTAATCTTAAGGTATTCATGTCTTATGTTGAAGATGAAGAAATTGAAATTATCGCTCGGATGTAGGTGAAAAGATGCACTGGGAGAGTATGCAGTGTACAGTATTTAACAATTCCATTTGCTATGAACAGTTGAAGTATATAATCTTTGAACAAAAAGGATGTAAAATAAAAAAGTACTTATTTATGATTTTGCTTCCGGCTGATTTCTTGAAGACTGTGAACTCCTGGCTCAGCTGTTTGGCCTGTTTTATCACCCACACGCCCTCATGCTGTTCCCTATTATGACTGGCCTCTATCCAGGAGCACAACTCACAATGGTTGACTGACAGCTGGAGAGTTCTTCCTGGTTTACACGATGCTCCTTGAAGCACCAATCTCTGCCCACACTACATATAGTCTCATCACTTCCCTGTATGTGGTTATGGTGCTGAACCACAGTCAACCACATGAGGCAGCATTACAAATAACCAACCTATTTTAATCTGCCTGAGCTTTAAGTGGGTCAGTGAGGCTAAATGCACATATATACATTTTCATCAGTTGTAAAGTCTATATACAGTCATATGAAACAACCACATATGACAAGGTATGTATTATATTGTATGTAAGTTGTGGAAGTGTGTCCTGTAATCAGACGACCCACAGCTCAAATTTTGAACTATATATTGTTGTAGATTTGGGTTTTAAACATTCTGAGACTGCAACATCAACAACTAAGATAAAATAGATATTTTGGTTACTCCTGCATGGACTGCAATTAATTTTGTATTAAAACTGGTAAAATAATCAAGAAGAAAAGGTGAATGCTGCCTGCTAGTTGGATATAAAAGCTATTACATGATATTTTATTTACAGTGAAGTTACCATTAAATGGAAATTTTTACATGGTGTTTTCAAATAAGTGAGAAACCAAACCAAGTGTTTTTGGTTGAAAATCATGTCTAACTATTGCACAAAGATATCACAAACCCCACGAATACAATCAGTGCATTGAGTTCTTTGTGGATTTGAATTTCCTTATCGTTTGCATCAAGAGCAAGTCAGAGAAGTCAATGTTTAACTTCAGCTCAAGTGCAGCTGGTTAAACTTTACACAGGCCAGAGAATGGAGGCTGGGAAATTTAAACATGCATGTTGTCTGAATAAGCCACTAGATGGAGATATAACCATATTCTTTACCCCTGTGGAGAAATTAATGTTCATTAAAGACAACTTAGTTACATTAAAGACAGCTGTAGACATATGTTTTTGTTTGTGCACAAAAGACTGTGATTCTTATTGAATGGACATCCTAATATATAATATATGATATTATAAAATTTCGTACTGCCTTTTTTAGTTATTGGATCGTATATGACAAAAAAAAAAAAAAAAAAAAAGCACAAAGGTGAAGTCACCTCCTTGAGGAGAATGCTGCAATTCTTCCAGGTGTTATAAAAGCAAAATGGCGCCATCTAGTGTCCAAATAATGATTCTTTTAGGTTTGAGCCTCACGTACATAGATATCACTCAAAATAATGCGGATACCTTGTATGTAAACTTCTTAAAGTGTAGGATAAACAATGTAACTTTTCTGGTGGAAGGTATACCATCTGTTTGAAATGCTATTTATTTATCCAGAATGTTCTACTGAATGACATTTGAATGAATGAATGAATTAATATTTACTTGTCTCTTTGGACAGAGCTTTAAAGCTTAACAATAAACACTGAGTCCGCTTTCACAATTTTAATTTTGAACAAAGATGTGAAAAATTATTACAGAGTAAAACAAAGTTAAATTAATATATAAATAGGTTGAATAATTTAGTGGATTATTTTTAATTAGTTCTGGAGATTCAATTATATGCGAGAGAATCTCAAGTTGTGGTGTCCTATGAGAAGAGAAAAAAAGACATGTTCATTAAAGATGTTTACAAACAGAACACAAGAAAAGTATCATGACTATGTTCCAGCATGTTGTGACATATGGTTTATGTTAGTACTGGCAATAGCCATTCTCTAAATGTTTTTCAATTTTTAATTAATTTTTAATTAATAACCCTAATGCTTCTCGGGGTCACGTTGACCCGAAGATTTTTTTTTCCCTTCCCGCTCTCTTGGGGCAGGTCAATCAGACCCAAAAATGTATTTGCAAATAAATTCTCGCCAGGCGAGAAAATAAAATTTTGGGTCTGACTGACCTGCCCCAAGAGAGTGGGAAGAAAAAAAAAAAATACTTTGAGTCAATGTGACCCCGATTAGAACGTGAGAGTTTTAATGAAATTTAAAGTAGGTTGACTGGTCAGTGGTTATAATGTGTTACAACTGTTGTATTAAAAATAGAAAAATTAACAGGACAACAAGACAAACCTCTGTAATCAAAAAAGTCTTCTTCAAAAGTAGATAGTCGTCTGTCAAAACTATCTCTCCTTGTCCTGGAAAAAAAATTGAATTAATTTATCAGCTTGTATATAATGGTCATTTTGGTATGCTGTGTAAATACTAACCAACTTCCAGAGCGCCTTAGCCTTCTGTAAACAGCAGCAGCGATGATGAACATGCAGAGGAGAAGGAAAGCACCAGCCAATGACCCAAACAGAGCCCCATAGAAACCTGGACCCCAGCTGGACAGCTCACAGCGCGGCCCATAGTAATGCCGAATACTCGAACTATAGCAGCTACACAAAAACAGACAAGGATATTTGAACATAACATTTGATAAATAGAGTGCAAAGTTAACAGAATTGACTGTTTACATACACACACCAATGCTTGAAAATACAATAATGCTACATTGTAAATGCAAACCAATTAATTTGTGTATATATGTTTTCAACTTATTTCCCTTATGATAGTATTTGTTGTAATTGATTGTCAATTTGCTTTACTGTTAATGAACTGTCAGTGTGAATTGAAGTGCATTCTACTGTAGATTTTTAAAATATACTTTACAATATCTTGTGTAAAGTGTATTTAAAAAATCTACAATAAGGGGGTAAAAATATTTTTTTTTACCCACTTATTGATAAGCCAATAAGGATAACAAACTCTTCTGCAACTTTAATTGACAATATACTGATAAATATTTGAGAAATCTATCGCCTCAGGTGTATCACTCACTGATATTTCAGACCATTGCCCCGTGTTTCAGTTTTTTGCAAATACTTTGCAGAAAAGGCCAGATGTGAGGTTAAAGCACCATACATTTTCTCAGAAAAATGAGGCAAAGACTGGCAAAGATTTCATGGGATGAGGTTTACAAACATCAGGATGCTGAAATAGCATACAAAACATGTATGGATATATTAGCGTTCTTGTTTAAACAATGTTTTCCTTTTGTAACTGCAAGAACAAAAAGCAAAATAATAGCAAGCCATGGATTACATGGGGGAATGAAAAAATCTTCAGTTATAAAGAATGTATCAATTCTTAGTCCCACACTATTAAATATATCATGTTATAAAATCCATTGAAAAAATATCCTTAAAAATAAAAATGTTAAAAATACCTGGAATGAATTACCGAATAAAAAACTAAGTTCCAGAGCTTTACCCTCTCAGCTATCCGATGGCATTAGAAATGATAACAACTCTGAAGTTGTCACTGAAGCTAATGGCTTCAGTGACTTTTTTTATGAATGTCGGCCCTTCACTGGCAAAACATATAGCTTAATCGGGAAAGTCTACCTCATTACTTGTTGATAAAATGTATCCTTGTTTAAATACATTTGCTCCACCAACACAATATGAGATAATGCAAATACTACTAAAAATGAGAGACACAGCTCAGGTCATGATGAAATAAGAGCCAGCGTTGTAAAGAAAGTAGCCTCCTCTATAACTGAGCCTTTGACTTATGTTCTCTCCTTGTCACTTAAAACTAGTGTTGTTGTAAAAGATCTTAAGCTAGCTAAAGTAACACCATTGTTCAAATCTGATGACTCCAGCTTATTCAACAACTACCAGCCTATTTCTGTTCTACCCTTGTTTTCTAAAGTACTGGAAAGTTTATGCAAGAATCTAAATATTTTTCAGAAAATGATATTCTTTACAACCATCAGTATGGCTTCAGAGAAACCATGTCTACAGAAATGGCCCTCTTGCAGTTTATTGATAAAATTTCAACTAATTTAATACAATTAAATTTAATAAAAATAAGACTCTTGGTCTATTACTAGACTTGTCAAAAGCATTTGACACAGTCAATTATGAAATTATTTTTTTTAATAAATTGACAAAATATGGAATACAAGATCTTATTTTAAAATGGCTGAAAAATAATTTGGAGGAGCAAGAACAATTTGTCTATATAAACCAAAGCTCATATTTGTGGTGTCCCACAGGTCTCCATTTTAGGACCACTATTATTCAAAATGTATATTAATGATCTAAAAAATATTTGTAAGTGTTGCCTCTTATGTTTGCATATGATACATGCCTTCTATTATCTCATCCCAATCTAAATGGTCTGATGAGAGAAGCAAATGAACAATTATCAATAATTTCTGAGTGGTTTAAAACAAATCAACTCTCTCTAAATATACAAAAGACACATTGTATGATTTTCAGTACAAAAAATAACACATGTAGTCAAGATGTGACACTATCTTTTGATGGTATCACAATTAGCCAAATTGTTCAAATTAAGTTTTAGGAGTGATTGTTGATCAAAAACTAACTTGGAAATATCATACCCAACATGATGAAAAATTATGAAATCCACTGGTATTTTGAGTAAAGTTCGCTGCTGTATAAATGTTTCATGCATGACTTTATACTGTAGTTGAATCTATCCTTCCATCATGTATTTTAACATGGTTTCTACATGTAAGACATATCTCAACACAATTTTATTAATACAAAATATTTTTTTAAGAATTATGAATTATTCACACAAATTGTCCTTATCTTATCTAAAAATACAATATTCTAACAATATTTAATGTAAACATATATTGTAATTCTCTGCTTATGTATAAGTATGTGTCTTTGTCAAATGTTTTACCCAGAACTTTTGACAACTTTTTTATGTACTGTTCAGATGTTCACACCTATACTATGAGACACGGCAGAGACTTTTATCTTCCCTTGTGCAGAACTTCCACAAATTAAAGAATGCTCAAGTTCAGAGGGCCGACACTGTGGAATAATTTAGCTGAGAGTCCAATTTCCTCACTGGACTATTTTAGAAGGCAATTAAAACAAACATTAATTTGTAATAATATTTAATATTTGAACTACTGAAACTCAACTTGACAGACTGTTGTGATAAAATCATGTTTATAGGGGAGGTGATCAAACAGTCTTCTTCTCATTCTCTCCTGCACAGCCAGTTTCTTTTGTTTCTACCTGTTTGAAATGTTTTTAGTATACATGTATGTGCAAATAAAATCTATCTAAGTGCAGTGTGTTTATTATGAGAGTGGATCCCAGGATGAGTCTTTGCACATGTGGAGATTATTTAGGATCAATCAATCAATCATAAATAAATAAATAAATAAATAAATAAATAAATAAAGTTCAAGATTGAAGTAATTAATTGTACTTTATGTCCAAACAACAGTTACTATAATAATAATATATCAATTAACTAACACATGCCATCATTTTCTTACCTTTGACTGTAATGAGTATAATAAATATGAAAGTAAATTTGAGTAAAATTATTCTTTCACTATGTAATACACAGTGCATATGTAGACAACCAATTATTAATAATACCAAAGTTTAATAAATATGTATATCTTACAAGCATATTGGTCCAAGGTAAATCTGATTGTAGCAGTCTCCGTGGTGATTGCAGTAGTATGGAGTTGTCTTGCACGGCCCAACACACTCCCAACTACCATTGATGACCTCCGGAGTGTAGTTAGCAAAGTATGTGCAGCTGATGTAAGGTTCCAACTGAGTAATACCTGGTGGAAAATTGATCAGTTATTCATAATATATTATATTTTCCTGAAAGAAGTACACAACTGGGACTTACTTCTAACTGGAGGTGATTCAAATGTCACTGCTTGCAACTGGGTGGGTGCTGTACTATTAAATGCCTTTCCAATGTTGTAGAGGTTTGTTGTATCATTTAGGATCAATTTCAAAACCTCCTCCAGTTGGTTGTTGACATACTGGATTTTAGAGTCGCTGTTTACATAGCTGTATTGGGCTTCAGTCTCTGCTATAACAGACCCAGAACTTAAAAGAGAAAGAGAAAAAAAGATAAAAACAAATAGAAAAAAGAGATAAAAGAAAAATGATTATGATAACAGATTCTAATAGTTATTTCTTGTGTAAACTCAGAACCTACACTAGTTTGAAGACTTGTATAGATTTGAAGGTATAAGGATCTGCTTTTCTGCACAGTGGTTCTAACTGGAATTTCAGAGGAAAAAGTTACTGACAGTGTGTTAGACATGTGATCATAGTAAAAAAAAAAAGAAAAAAGAAAAAAATCATTACATTGTCAAAAACAGAAATTTGTTGTTTACCTGTGATAATAATATGTTGATGAAACTAATGGATTTTGGAGAATTTAAATTCAAGTAGTCACTGATGAAAGTAGTGTTTATAACCAAAGTAATATTTACTTTGCGAGTTGGTAGTCGTCCAGTGTCTGCAAATTAAAAATGGAATTATGTAAGTTGAAAGACAACACATGTTTGTGTTTATGAAAAGAAAACTCACCAATATTAGGCTGGGTGTTATTAATACCATAGGTGCAGTTTAGACCATACACATCATCTGAGCAGCTAGCAGTTGTTGTCACTGGATTAATATAAAAAAGAAAAAAAACCTGTGTGGTGAAGCAAACTAAACAGAAGTGGAACTGAAAATTTTAGAAAAGATAAGAAGTACCTTCATTTGTCGTTGGTACAGAAGTAACTGATGGGATTGTTGAAGATTTTTGCCCTGTTGTTGATGGACCTGAGACCGATGATGGTGCTTCAGTAATGACATGAGATGTTATTGTCTGCAAGGTGGTTGATGTTGAAGGAAATGTTTGTGGAGAAAGACCTGTGGAATATGATTTTGATGATGTCTGGTCATTTGAACTTGTTTGTAATATTTCTGTGGATGGCTGAGTGGTTGGTCTTGAAGTCACCTGGTGCATTGTGGATGTGGCTGTTGTCAAATATGTCTCTGATGTAATTGTTGAAGATTTCTGCCCAGTTGTTGAGGTAACAGCAGTAGAAGACAAACTTTGACTTGTTGCTTGAGAAATGGCTGTGTTCAGAATTGTTGTTGTTGAGGGAGATGTTTGTGGAGAAATACTGGTACTATTTGTGGTATATGGACTTGATGTCTGGAAATTTTCACTTGTTTGTAATATTTTTGTGGATGGCTGAATGGTTGATGATGAAGTCATCTCATGTGTTATAAGCGTGGATGTCGGCAATGTAGACTGAGTTGTTGGGCCAGATGTCACAGATGTGATTGTTGAAGATTTCTGCCCTGTAGACAGCTGAGTGGTTGGTCCTGAAGTCACCTGTTGCGTTGTGGATGTGGCTGTTGTCAAAGATGTCTCTGATGTAATCGTCGAAGATTTCTGCCCAGTTGTTGAGGTAACAGTAGTAGAAGACAAACTTTGACTTGTTGCTTGAGAAGTGGTTGTGTTCAGAATTGCTGTTGTTGAGGGAGATGTTTGTGGAGAAATACTGGTACTATTTGTCGTATACGGACTTGATGTCTGGACATTCGCACTTGTTTGTAATATTTTTGTGGATGGCTGAATGGTTGATGATGAAGTCATCTCATGTGTTGTAAGTGTGGATGTCGGCAATGTAGATTGAGTTGTTGTGCCAGATGTCACAGATGTGATTGTTGAAGATGTCTGCCCTGTAGACAGCTGAGTGGTTGGTGTTGAAGTCACCTGCTGCGTTGTGGATGTGGCTGTTGTCAAATATGTCTCTGATGTAATTGTTGAAGATTTCTGCCCAGTTGTTGAGGTAACAGCAGTAGAAGACAAACTTTGACTTGTTGCTTGAGAAATGGTTGTGTTCAGAATTGTTGTTGTTGAGGGAGATGTTTGTGGAGAAATACTGGTACTATTTGTCGTATACGGACTTGATGTTTGGACATTTTCACTCGTTTGTAATATTTTTGTGGATGGCTGAATGGTTGATGATGAAGTCATCTCATGTGTTGTAAGCGTGGATGTTGGCAATGTAGATTGAGTTGTTGGGCCAGATGTCACAGAGGTGATTGTTGAAGATTTCTGCCCTGTAGACAGCTGAGTGGTTGGTCCTGAAGTCCCCTGCTGTGTTGTGGATGTGGCTGTTGTCAAAGACGTTTCTGATGTAATCGTCGAAGATTTCTGCCCAGTTGTAGAGGTAAAAGTAGTAGAAGACAAACTTTGACTTGTTGCTTGAGAAATGGTTGTGTTCAGAATTGCTGTTGTTGAGGGAGATTTTTGTGGAGAAATACTGGTACTATTTGTGGTATATGGACTTGATGTCTGGACATTTGCACTTGTTTGTAATATTGTTGTGGATGGCTGAATGGTTGATGATGAAGACATCTCATTTGTAATAAGCATGGATGTTGGCAATGTAAATTGAGTTGTTGGGCCAGATGTCACAGATGTGATTGTTGAAGATTTCTGCCCTGTAGACAGCTGAGTGGTTGGTCCTGAAGTCCCCTGCTGCGTTGTGGATGTGGCTGTTGTCAAATATGTCTCTGATGTAATCGTCGAAGATTTCTGCCCAGTTGTTGAGGTAACAGTAGTAGAAGACAAACTTTGACTTGTTGCTTGAGAAATGGCTGTGTTCAGAATTGTTGTTGTTGAGGGAGATGTTTGTGGAGAAATACTGGTACTATTTGTGGTATATGGACTTGATGTCTGGACATTTGCACTTGTTTGTAATACTTTTGTGGATGGCTGAATGGTTGATGATGAAGTCATCTCATGTGTTGTAAGCGTGGATGTTGGCAATGTAGATTGAGTTGTTGGGCCAGATGTCACAGATGTGATTGTTGAAGATTTCTGCCCTGTAGACAGCTGAGTGATTGGTCTTGAAGTCACCTGCTGCGTTGTGGATGTGGCTGTTGTCAAATATGTCTCTGATGTAATCGTCGAAGTTTTCTGCCCAGTTGTTGAGGTAACAGTAGTAGAAGACAAACTTTGACTTGTTGCTTGAGACATGGTTGTGTTCAGAAATTGCTGTTGTTGGGAGATGTTTGTGGAGAAATACTGGTACTATTTGTCGTATACGGACTTGATGTCTGGACATTTGCACTTGTTTGTAATATTTTTTGTGGATGGCTGAATGGTTGATGATGAAGTCATCTCATGTGTTGTAAGCGTGGATGTTGGCAATGTAGATTGAGTTGTTGGGCCAGATGTCACAGAGGTGATTGTTGAAGATTTCTGCCCTGTAGACAGCCTGAGTGTTGGTCCTGAAGTCCCCTGCTGCGTTGTGGATGTGGCTGTTGTCAAGACGTCTCTGATGTAATCGTCGAAGATTTCTGCACAGTTGTTGAGGTAACAGTAGTAGAAGACAAACTTGGACTTGTTGCTTTATAAGTGGTGGTGTTCAGAATTGCTGTTGTTGCGAGAGATGTTTGTGGAGAAATGGTACTATTTGTGGTATATGGACTTGATGTCTGGACATTTTCACTCGTTTGTAATATTTTTGTGGATGGCTGAATGGTTGATGATGAAGTCATCTCATGTGTTGTAAGCGTGGATGTTGGCAATGTAATTGAGTTGNTGTGGATGTGGCTGTTGTCAAAGATGTCTCTGATGTAATCGTCGAAGATTTCTGCCCAGTTGTTGAGGTAACAGTAGTAGAAGACAAACTTTGACTTGTTGCTTGAGAAATGGTTGTGTTCAGAATTGCTGTTGTTGAGGGAGACGTCTGTGGAGAAATACTGGTACTATTTGTGGTATATGGACTTGATGTCTGGACATTTGCACTCGTTTGTAATATTTTTGTGGATGGCTGAATGGTTGATGATGAAGTCATCTCATGTGTTGTAAGCGTGGATGTTGGCAATGTAGATTGAGTTGTTGGGCCAGATGTCACAGATGTGATTGTTGAAGATTTCTGCCCTGTAGACAGCTGAGTGGTTGGTCCTGAAGTCCCCTGCTGCGTTGTGGATGTGGCTGTTGTCAAAGACGTCTCTGATGTAATCGTCGAAGATTTCTGCCCAGTTGTTGAGGTAACAGGAGTAGAAGACAAACTTTGACTTGTTGCTTGAGAAGTGGTTGTGTTCAGAATTGCTGTTGTTGAGGGAGATGTTTGTGGAGAAATACTGGTACTATTTGTGGTATATGGACTTGATGTTTGGACATTTTCACTCGTTTGTAATATTTTTGTGGATGGCTGAATGGTTGATGATGAAGTCATCTCATGTGTTGTAAGCGTGGATGTTGGCAATGTAGATTGAGTTGTTGGGCCAGATGTCACAGATGTGATTGTTGAAGATTTCTGCCCTGTAGACAGCTGAGTGGTTGGTCTTGAAGTCACCTGCTGCGTTGTGGATGTGGCTGTTGTCAAAGACGTCTCTGATGTAATCGTCGAAGATTTTCTGCCAGTTGTTGAGGTAAAAGTAGTAGAAGACAAACTTTGACTTGTTGCTTGAGAAATGGTTGTGTTCAGAATTGCTGTTGTTGAGGGAGATGTTTGTGGAGAAATACTGGTACTATTTGTGTATATGGACTTGATGTTTGGACATTTTTCACTCGTTTGTAATATTTTTGTGGATGGCTGAATGGTTGATGATGAAGTCATCTCATGTGTTGTAAGCGTGGATGTTGGCAATGTAGATTGAGTTGCTGGGCCAGATGTCACAGATTGATTTGTTGAAGATTTCTGCCCTGTAGACAGCTGAGTGGTTGGTCCTGAAGTCCCCTGCTGCGTTGTGGATGTGGCTGTTGTCAAAGACGTCTCTGATGTAATCGTCGAAGTTTTCTGCCCAGTTGTTGAGGTAACAGTAGTAGAAGACAAACTTTGACTTGTTGCTTGAGACATGGTTGTGTTCAGAATTGCTGTTGTTGAGGGAGATGTTTGTGGAGAAATACTGGTACTATTTGTGGTATATGGACTTGATGTTTGGACATTTTCACTCGTTTGTAATATTTTTGTGGATGGCTGAATGGTTGATGATGAAGTCATCTCATGTGTTGTAAGTGTGGATGTTGGCAATGTAGATTGAGTTGTTGGGCCAGATGTCACAGATGTGATTGTTGAAGATTTCTGCCCTGTAGACAGCTGAGTGGTTGGTCCTGAAGTCCCCTGCTGCGTTGTGGATGTGGCTGTTGTCAAAGATGTCTCTGATGTAATCGTTGAAGATTTCTGCCCAGTTGTTGAGGTAACAGGAGTAGAAGACAAACTTTGACTTGTTGCTTGAGAAGTGGTTGTGTTCAGAATTGCTGTTGTTGAGGGAGATGTTTGTGGAGAAATACTGGTACTATTTGTGGTATATGGACTTGATGTTTGGACATTTTCACTCGTTTGTAATATTTTTGTGGATGGCTGAATGGTTGATGATGAAGTCATCTCATGTGTTGTAAGTGTGGATGTTGGCAATGTAGATTGAGTTGTTGGGCCAGATGTCACAGATGTGATTGTTGAAGATTTCTGCCCTGTAGACAGCTGAGTGGTTGGTCCTGAAGTCCCCTGCTGCGTTGTGGATGTGGCTGTTGTCAAAGACGTTTCTGATGTAATCGTTGAAGATTTCTGCCCAGTTGTCGAGGTAAAAGTAGTAGAAGACAAACTTTGACTTGTTGCTTGAGAAATGGTTGTGTTCAGAATTGCTGTTGTTGAGGGAGATTTTTGTGGAGAAATACTGGTACTATTTGTGGTATATGGACTTGATGTTTGGGCATTTGCACTCGTTTGTAATATTTTTGTGGATGGCTGAATGGTTGATGATGAAGTCATCTCATGTGTTGTAAGCGTGGATGTTGGCAATGTAGATTGAGTTGATGGGCCAGATGTCACAGAGGTGATTGTTGAAGATTTCTGCCCTGTAGACAGCTGAGTGGTTGGTCCTGAAGTCCCCTGCTGCGTTGTGGATGTGGCTGTTGTCAAAGATGTCTCTGATGTAATCGTCGAAGATTTCTGCCCAGTTGTTGAGGTAACAGGAGTAGAAGACAAACTTTGACTTGTTGCTTGAGAAGTGGTTGTGTTGAGAATTGCTGTTGTTGAGGGAGATGTTTGTGGAGAAATACTGGTACTATTTGTGGTATATGGACTTGATGTCTGGACATTTTGCACTCGTTTGTAATATTTTGTGGATGG